GGGAGACACTATTGAGGTCATTGAACATAGTGCGTAGGTCCTCCAGCGATTCTGCCATAAGGACTATATTGTTGGCAAATCGAAGGTGAGTGACGTACACGCCATTGACGTTAATACTGTATCCTTTCCAGTCCAGTAGCTTGAAAACGTCTTCCAATGCAGCGGTAAAGTATTTCGGGGATATTACGTCACCCTGTCTTACACATCTCTACAGTTGGATTAGTTTTGTACTCTGGTTCTTTACTCGGTTACCCATCGTAACCCTTAGACCATTCAACTAAAAAATTATTAAGATTAAACTAACTACACAAAATAAAAATAAAAACATAATTTCCAAAATAATTTATTGTCAACCGTTTATTTAGTTCTAGTATTATAAAAAACAAATCAGCTGCTATAATAACGTCTATTCTAATCAACTACAGGTCTGTCTATAGACAGTAAAATATTTTCTACTATATAAAAATTTATGTTTCTTTGTACTTTCTACGATGCCATACCGTTCATCAGATTGCGGCAAAACTTAGTCAACTTATTGGTTCCACTTGAGCGAAGGTTATACGCATGGTTTAATTAACTGACACTAGGTGGCGTGCGTATGATACTATTTATTTGTACGTTATAGAAAGTTATATATCATTCTATTTCAATGATTGTAGTATCATTCCTAATTATACAATATAACTGTTCCACATTTTCAACGATATTTCCACAATTATTTCTTTTGCGGCAGCAATGCGCCGGGTACGAGCTAGCAAGATAATATAAAAAAATATAAAGTTTGAATTACAGTTACATTACAATTTACAATTAAAATTACAATATTAAAAAAACTGAAATTATCATACAGTCCTACTTTCCGTGGTATCGTCCCAAGAATGCTGGCTACGTGTCCTCTCTGAATGGCTATACTTAGCCTTCAAGCGGGAAACAACAAACTAACAACTTCTTATTACCAGCAGCGATGATCAGTCGCAGATACAGTTTTTTAAGAACTACACCGCACGTGCACCCTACGGACCGATAGACTTTACAGCAAATTGCACAAATATGTACTCATCTTCTAGATACTCTGGACTATTTATTTAGTTCAGTTGCTTCTAATGCCACCCCTGCTTTATTTACAAGGTACCCCTGAGATGGGAATTTGTCAAAGTGTTCGCAAGTAGTATCCCACACTAAAGCTTTATCCCTCTCTCCTTCTCTCAAGAAACCAAACCCATACCGTCGGATCTCCTGGTATCGTCTCTAAATATTCTACAAAGATCTTAAACTGAGAAAAATTTATAGAGATACGAAATCTTCGGGTGACATTGTCCAAGAACTGTGACGGGACAATATTATATTAAAGAATACCATAATATTATTACACGGTTTTTTAACCGTATATTAAGGATGGATTAGAAATACTATGTTAAACCAGAGTAACTAACCCTCGAATAATTTTACTCTTTGGTCCTACACCAAGATAACTTCGTTTTGCGTTTTGTAACACAAACATACAGAAGCCAATACTGGCTACTGTTACTCCAAAATTAACACACATTCAACGTGGTTTGACATCATCAGGCGACCTTTCGACACTTGGCTATGGCCCTTGAGTTTGGTGGAAAATGAGGAAAGAAGAAATAAAAAAAAACATTCGAAATAATAATCTAATACTTTTATACTTACTCGTACTGGTACTACCAGAAAATATTGTCGGTATATTGCACTTTTTTAAAGTGGTGCAGTTCTCATGTCTAATAAAACAGTCGTCTGTGAAATGTTTGGAACAAATATTATCATTTTGTTTCGGACGCTAATTCACAATATTTATGCTTTTAAGCCATAATTTTAGTCTAGGTTCATTTCGAAACCTGTTAATTAATAAACATTTGATAATCATCTGCTGTTGGTGACTTTGATTGTTACCCGATATGAGTAGGAAAGAACATCGATAAGTATTATAGACAAGGAATTCGACAACCCTATTGAATTTTATTGTTTATCAAAACTCAGTAATATACAGCCAAACACGTTGGTATTTATGATATTAAGATTAGAAACAAATTTTTAAGTACTTATATTATCAAATAGTTTTTAATTTGTTTAATATTTGCTGCAAATTCACTTACTTGTGAAATGATATACCACTTCCCTTTTGGTAACGAGTTGTACAGATTACGCACACTCTCATTATTAATAAAAATAATTCTTATTATGTAACTAATATTATACACAATCAAACATAGAATACTTTCGTTTTTTAGTTTAAAAGTTCAAAATACAGACTTATTAAAAATTACAATATAAATAAGACAACAGACTTTGGCATATTATGTCAATTTTATTTTTCAAGACATCCTTTAGCGGCGCTTCAAATTGGCACAGACATTTTGTATGGTATAGCCAGTTCAGCGTACTTGTATATATACAGGACAGTGTCTATAAATAATATTATAAATGGCAGTAAATAAATAATAATAAAATCCAATAAATTCATAAACGTATTATACTCGTATGTTAGTAATCTGTGTAGTAACTTGACGTCACGACATAATATAATCAATGACATATTTCATAATTGAAACTTTGTTGATAAACATTATTTTGGTTATTTATTAAAATGTCTGTGCAGCAAATTTCTTCTATAAGATCAGCAAAAGCAATGAAATCGACACTGAGTTATACCAGATCAGTAAATATTTTTTATGAAATTACTATAATTTAAACACAAAATCATAATAATGGGTCTTGGGAGTATTGTGGTAGTAATTTTGGGAAGACTATTTTTCCAAGGATTTAGTTTTGAACTAAGGGTGACAAACGAGCGCACAGTCCATTTTATGGTAATTAGATACTGTGACTCCTAGACACATCTATGGTAAAGTAATAAGCGAGCTTAAATACTGCAGAAGCCCTAGGAACGAGTAAAAGCATAAACTACACATTTTGGTAAGAGCTTTGACTGCTGTAATTTTGGGACTTTGCAATGAAAGGATGTGCAGATTATCCTGATGGAAAACCTATGCACGTTCTTATTGAATGCGGACCTCTAAAGCGCAAACGAAAAACCGATCTGAGGATTTTTTTTTGAAAATAAAATTTCTTTAAACTTATTAACTAAGCCCAAAGAAACTGAAAGAACTCACAGCTAATCAAATCCCACAATTCATTGAAAGTATCTTTTGACAATTTTTTTTATTTCAAAACATTGGTGACGAATTTAGTTCAAAGATGGATAATTTTTAGTACTAATAACAACATTACGAACGGTGTGCACACCGTCAAGCTGTCCTAATAGGTTAGAAATGTAAGGCAATACTATGTGACTGTTCGCATTTTTGTGCAAGTTAAAAGCAACTATTTAAATTCAGCCTTTTACCGTCTTACTAAAAGTACCATATAACGTTGATTACGGATGTTTTAATTTACAAGATTTTTTTTATAAAATTGAAGTAACAGATGAACTTTCGGTCTATCTGACGATATGTGGCCCTTGCAGTCTAACAGCTGCCGCCAATTTCAAATAAAGAAAGCTATGAAATGCGCAGATGCTGTCACATCTTAGGACTAGGATGGAATGTCTTACAGCCTTTAATTATACCGACTCTCTATACATTTTAGATTGGAACACAAAAGTGCAAGCAATAGTATTGCTATATTGCAAGTGCTATTTGTCGGCAAATATGTATGAAACTGGTACAGACCAAACGGATTCCAAAACAGAAAAAGTACCTACCTAGTAAATTAGAGAAAAAAAATGTGAATAGAGTAAATTTTGTACATAATTTCTTTTACACCTCTCATTCAATTTTAAATTAGAATTTAATTTAAATTTAGTTATTTTTAAATTAATTTTACTTAAACAAATAAATTAATTTAATTTAAATTAAAATCTAATTTTTACTATAATTAACTCCTGATAGCCAATATTATAACATTGAACCCAACGGGTTTTGGGTTAATTACTAATTAATTACCTTATCTTATCTACTATATATTATCTTATTATAATCAGACTCGAATTGTACATATTACGCCCTTAAGATAGCACGATTTACTTTTTCATCATAAGTTAGAGGTGACAACATTTTTTTTTTGGTATTGTAACTTCATTTATTCATGGTGAAACAAGTACACGTATGGTGAAGCAATTCGCTTACACCGATAAGATACAGTAAAATAACCATACCGGTTTTTAGTTCATTAGTTCTAAAAAGACGTAAATGACGCATAATTACATAGATGATTATAACTATTTATAATCATCTATGTAATTATGCGTATAGATTATAATTTCATGCGTGGTAGAGCCATGCAGTAGTTATATTAGTAGTATAGTTGTAGCACGAATCGAGCTTGAAATCGGCTCGATCGGGAAAGGACCACGCTCTCACAGAATACCAGCGTGAAATATTAGCTTAATGTTGCTGTATTTCGTATGGTGAGTGTAGAGAACCGGAGACCCTTTTTACTGGAAACGAGGCATTCCATCTTAGTCCTCACGGGTGACAACGCATCTGCATTTTGATTTGTAATCGAGGATAGATGTAGATTTCTATGGGCCGCAGCAACCACTTACCATCAGGTGGACTGTGTGCTCGTTTGTCACACTATCCTATAAAAAAAAAACAAAAGAAAAACAGAAAACTGTATAAATATTGTTCGGAAGTAAAGATCCATATAAGTTACATCGGAATATTGCCTTTCAATTAAATCTGTCTTCTATTTTTAATATTATATTATGTCTATTTTTAATATTATTGTGCAGAGAAAATAAAATCTATGAAGAAAAGAGAAACATTAAAAAAAAACTCAATTTTAAGAGGTATTTAAATAATAAACAAAGATCAGTTGACACCATGACCATTTTAGGAGAGTACGTAGCTGAATAAATATAAAACGTAAGATTAAAATAATATAAATAAATGAATTTCATAAAGGTCGAAATAGTAGAATATTAGTTTCTGCCGCGTCTAGTTCTTAAAATATATTATGCTGTTTGATATTTGCAGACGATAGCCCCAAGCCACAAAACATCTAGACCATTACGTGTAGCTTCAACGTTATCGAAAAAATATTTCTCTTGTTCATCCATGGGAGTGCGCCAGAATCCTTGGATTCCAACTAAGCGACGGGGACCTATAGCTGCAGAAGCCGCTAGCCCAGGACCAGCTGTGGTTTCTTTGCCGTCACTTATAGGTAGTATTAGAAATAGTTTATTTCTGAAATCGATGATAAATAATAATGCAAAAGTAGTTAGTTATTAAAAATGTTCGTAATATATTTTGCAATTGAGCACAGGCGTTCCTTTATTTGTGAAATGTAATTTTACTATGATAGCTGAGAAGTAAAATGCCACTAGAGCAGTGTGAATTTTTTTTTGTTGAAAGTTGTGTGTTGCTATGGGGACATTTACCAAATTTAATTTTTGGTTTCCAATTAAATTGTAATAATTTTTGAATACTGTGTAGTGGCGATGTAAGGATATCCAATGCTCCATATCTTCCCGCGAGTGTCGTAAAAGTGTGCCTTAGCATCTTTCTAATAAAAATAAAATCTACAATAAAAAAACTGCTACAGTCAACCCGCTTGCCAAGCGTGGCAACTTTGGCAAATGCCCCCCATGATCAACGACACAAAGCAACGGCTGGCTCAGGTGCTAAGAATCTCCGATGGAGTTTCGGTTGCCATGTTAGACTACTTGATCTGGTAACATTTAACGCGCTCACCTTGAGGACTAACGAGAATATCCTGGAACTAGAACAAGAGATAGACATGCTTGCGATATTACAGAATTACTTGAAGTCCGAACACGGTAATCCTCGAATCTGGCAACTTGTTCTATCACCATGAGGGCAACCATCTATCCCAAGGAGGTGTTCGATTTATCGTCAACATGTCTCTCGTTAATGTAGTAATGTAGAAGAGAATGGAAGTGTTTAGACAAGTATTCGTTGAAGGTTATACACGTTTACGCATATCCCGATGACTCTTCATGGAGGAAATGTGTGAAGATATATCTAAAGCCATCCATTCCTCTATAACGGTCGGAGCAAAGTGCTGCAAGATCCGTCGCAGTAGAACCAAAAAAATTTCCGATCACACTGTTATTTTAATGGCAGACAAAACTACTAATGTGTGCGGCGAGACTTGAAATTGAATGAAAATTCAGTACAGTTCGTATTGAAGAAGCGCAGAATTGAGCAGAATCAAGGCTCCAAAGTCTTCTTCTCTCAAACAGAGCCAAAATATTTCTCAGCCAGAAAGAGTCAACTGTCGAAGTTAGAGACCGAATGTGGTAGCATCCTTTTTAAGACTTTGAGAACGATTGATAACTTCTCTGAAAGGTGTAAACTTCATTGTTGGAGCCAAATGCAAGTGTGAGTAACAATGCAAGAGCAAGTGTTATCCCGGACGTCAGTCTGAGCGAGATCGGAATGGCTCTCCAGCACCTTAAAAGCGACAAGGTCCCAAGCGAAGATAGAATCAAAGTACAGCCTCTGAAACTGGTACTTAAAGTCCTTCAGAAGCTCTTCAATTCCGTCCAGCTTGGTGCTGCTATTCTGGAGTCGTGAAGCAAAAGTGCGATGGTCTTGTTCTTTACGAAAGACAATAACGCTCTATTTATAAGAATTGTAAAACAATTTTCCTGTCTGCGTGCCGTTTATGAGAGCCTTTACGAATCTTCGAAGCAGATTCGACGACTTCTTCTTGAGTCTGCGTGAGAGACAGGGCGACGTTATATACCCAAAACTCTTCACCGCTGCATTGAAATACGTTTTCAAGCTTCTGAAACGGCTCTGGGAAGGCTCACCATTGATGTTAATGCCATATGTATTACATCAATGACGAATACATCACACACACCTTCGATTTGCAGACGATATAATCCTTATTGAAGAATTGCTGGAGGACCTTAGCACTATGTTCAGTGTCCTGAATAGTGTCTCCCTGCGGATAGGTCTGAAAATAGACGATACAAAGTTCATATGTAACACTTATGCCTGTAGTTGTTGGGAGTACAATGCCCGAAGTTGTCAACGTAAGTTTACCTAAGAAAAGTTGTGTGACTAGGTAAGTCCAATTTCGACTGAGAGGTCAATCAACGGAATCCACTCGGTTGGGCAGCGTTCGGGAGATTACGACACCTCTCGTCACGTATTCCTCAAAACTTGAAAATAAAAGTATATTAAGTATTATATAAGTGTATTAAAGTATAAAATTGTAGTAAGTGACTAGTAAGTAAGTGTATGGCGGTCCCCCATTAGACAGAGTGACGACCTGATAAGAGATGCAGGAAGTGGAGGGATAAAGGTAGCTCAGGTCCGTGCTTAGTGTCATTCTTTGGGGGAGGCCTATGTTCAGCAGTGGACTTGTGAACGGCTGTAATTAATGAATGAATATATGATGAATATTTGATTAAGGCACGCTAAAAACACCTAACCATCTGCCAGAGTGGTGAGTTTCCTGAAAATGTCTGTGTCAAGTAAATTTATGCGGTAAAATTTAAAATTATTACATTTGTAATAAATATGAAACATGAATAACAAAATGTCTAAGGTATAATTAAAATATTACATAAAAATATCCGTTTATATTTATATGAAATAATAAGTATATTTCTGTTGCTATTGTCTATTGTAGTCTTTTATAATTACTTGCACCACTACCCAACACAGTCCATCGACGATCATGGATGCTGCTAACCAAAAAAAAAAAAAAGGGAAAAAAGGAAACGTCGGGATTTAAAAATAAATTTAGCGCGATTAAATCCGTAAAATTATTCTTAAATAATTTTTATTATTAATACAATGAGCTAATAATCCAACTAACGCTAAATGGCCAGTTCACCGCATAGAGATCTGCAACCAACTTCAAATAAAAAGTACTGTAAGTGCGGCGTCCTTTCACGACTAAAATGAAATGTCTCTCGCCCTCTAAATAAGTTGTTTGGCTCTTCTACTCTACAACTAGGCCGAAACAGTTACGGAGGTGGTGATTTCAGTCTTCTAGTTTCTGGATGTTAACGCTGTTAGTCTATGAGACTCTTACAGAAGTGAGGATGACGATGAATGGTTTATGATTTGGTATTGTTACCAATCATCATGTCTGGATGGACTAAGCAAGTAAAGAGCTGCAGCCGAATTTGCTTGACCTTGAAAACTAAATTAATTTCTAAAATTTTGAGCTGTCTTCAAAAAAAGGAGGAGGTTCTCAATTCCACTGTATTTTTTATCTGTGTTACCTCAAAACTACTCTCTAGGTGAACCGATTTTGATGATTCCTTTTCTATTGATTAAAACTACTTTTACGGATTTTGTCTCGTTTAATTTTACTTTTAATTATTTTTATTTTTAATTCTCGACGTTTCGGGTGCTTTCCAGCACCCATGGTCACGGGGGACTGAGATGACTGACATCCCGATGTCATTGTTAAACCCGGAAGTTTATTGAATTGACTTCCCGGAACGTCTGCAGTTTGTGATCATATCCTAGACGGCCCCAACCATTACATCAGATTTAATAGATCACAAATCCTCGCGAAAGAACACCGATTCCTACCAAGGATGATACGTGAGGCTATTGAAATTAAAAAACATCCTAATTTCAAGAGAGAAGGAGGCTGGGTAGTACCACCTGCTTGGGACCCTATAATCAATAAAATTAAAACTAAACCCAAGCATACCACTGCAAGATCTCAGGACATAATCAGTTCATTTTGCATAGATCGGACCATAAACAATAATTAAAAAAGCTGAAGGTACTCAGGGTTTAACAATGACATCGGGACGTCAGTCACCTCAGTCCCCAGTGACCATGGGTGCTGGAAAGCACCCGAAACGTCGGGAATTAAAAATAAAAATAATTAAAAGTAAAATTAAACGCGATAAAATCCGTAAAAGTAGTTTTAATCAATGTGTAGTGTTCGCGTAAATATAAGAAATCATTATGATTCCTTTTCTATCTGAAAACCCGTGTGGTCCGTATAAATTTGATCAAGATCTGACCAGAAGTTATTGAGTTATCCTTAATAGTGCGTATTTAATTGACGTCAAATACATTGATGATGTTCTCATTTCATTTACTTATATTGAATTTGTTGTATAAAATTTGTAATTTTACCACTTGTATAGAATTTGCGAGACTGTAAAATTTTAAATTATTTTATACCATTCATAACAGTAGTACGTAATACGTCATAGTACCATTAAAAGATTATAATTTGTAAACCAAATTATTTTTTACCTTAGTCGGTATTGTTTGTGTTTTGTCAGTGTGTGTTTGTGTGTGTGTGTATTTGCAAAGTCGCGCTGACATCATCCGGAGGTTGCGAGATTATCACTTCGTGCACCGCAAACATTGGCCTTGCTCGTGTTCATGCAAAGTGTGACATCACTCCGTTAAAGCTGTTCGTAAACATAGTTAACTATCCCGCCTGTAAATGTTAATTAAATCGAATAGATCAACAAAAAATTGCACTATTCAAATTTTTATAATATTTCATTTTTAGTGACAATATTTTGTTATTAAAATAAAGCTAAAATTAGTACTGATGTTGTGAAGTGCTATTACATTTGTGATTTATTGCCATTTGGAGCGGCCGTAGGCGACATTGATCTTGGTGAGGTAGCTCTGGGTCGAATTTTATCAAAAATACGTGTAGGTAGTTTATTACATGAAACAAACAATACATAATATTATTGAATTATTTTATTTAATAACAATGAATATAGTTTTATCTACATTTTATTTTAGTTTTATTGATTATTGTGGTTACGAATAGGTTTTAATTTGTAACTTTTTGTTTGTTTCTATAATATGTTATGTTTGTTTCTATGGCCCAGCAAAATAATAAAAAGGCAGCTTACATTTGTCCTTAACCACACTATTACTAGCTTTCCATTAATTATGAGAGGAATTTATGACGGATATTCCTCTCATAATTAATGGAAATTTTTGTAATTTATTTAAGGTATAATTTTTATATTTGTTACTTCGATCAATTATATTGATCGAAGATTTGTTACATATAGAGGTTTTCTCGCGATGGTACGCTATTTCAAGGCCTAACGCGTAGGAAATCAGTATAATATAATAAAGTTTGATTGGTGCCGGCAGGGATTGAACTTAGTTTGCGTACGTCGATTATGAAATTAGAGCGAGGGTTTATCCCATGGGGTACTAGGACGTTTTCCACTAATATTTACATATTGATATAACAATTTTTTATCAGCTTATTTCTATTTCGAGCTCATTGAATTGTTACTTCTTATCTTGATTTGCTTCTGCTCCTTTTAGTGTCCATAAACAGTTAACGATCTTCATGCAAGTAGCATCCCGATGACATCTACTGTTATTTACCTCTGGCGCAACCTGAGTAATTTGTAAGTTTATCTTTTGCAGCTTGTCAAACTCCTTCACCATAATGGTTAATCTTTATGGGAATTATCATTGACACACTAAAAGGAGGAAAACATTAGTTACGAGAGCTCATGTTTTAAAATGGAGTTTAGAAATAGAATTAGGGTGTATAATTTATTTATACTTACATGATATTTATTGTAGGTAAACCATCACCAGAGTCCCGTAAGCCAAGAGCTCCCGCTTTTACTTTCGGTCAAAAGTTAGAACCTAGCGGTAAAGCCAACGCTGGTCCCGGGCCCGCTTCATACAATACAGAAGGAATGACTTCAAAAGGTAAGATTATTTACATTTTATAGCCATTTAAAATGATCCCAAGACCGAATTTTGGTCTCAGTGGCCAGTCTCAACGGAGATTAGTCATATGGGCAGCACGAGATTATAGCGCGCGAGCGTGTGCGAGAGCTCAGGTGCATTCGCCATTACCTCACTCTCATAGTCGGATGGGACGGCTATTTGACGCGACCGGACAGAGATCAGGTGCAGAACCAACAGCTTAACTGCTTTGGTTCTGCTTTCTGTGGCATGAAAATACAACTCCGCCTACTTCCTGATTCTGGGAAGCCCCTTCTGAGAAAGTTTTGTGGGAAAGCCTTTACCAATAACCAGGAATTTCATGATGAGCAGTGTTGTTTGTTAACCCTAGACTAACGAGGCAGTCAACTAACCAGAATAACATTAATATTACTTAACATCATCACTTGCTGAGGGAAAGCCTATGTTCAGCTGTGGGCTAGTGATAGGCTGTACTGATTATAATGATCAAAGACATCAAGTTGTGAAATAAATGTATTTTCTTATTATGTCACCCTCAGAGTTACGAGTAAGCATTGATATGTCATTATATACGTGGTAGAACCGAGCTGCAGCTATATTCCGGTTGTACCACGAATGGATACGGCTTGACCGGGGTAGGACCGTACGACCGGACAGACTACCAGCGTAAAATAGTAGAGTAAAGCTGCTTTTTCGTATGGTGAGTGCAGAGAACCAGAGACCCTTTTTACTGAAAACGAGGCATTACATCTTAGTCCTCAGGGGTGACAACGCATCTGCATTTTGATTCTTAACCGAGGTGAAATGTAGATTTCTATGAGCCACAGCATCCGTTTACCATCAGGTGGACTGTGTCCTCGTTTATCACCCTTATTCTATAAAAATGTCTAACATGGATAAAAAAAAATTAGAAGTGCTAATAGAATAACTATTAACACTTCTAACAAGTACCATGACACAGTGTATATATGTATTAACTGTGAACATGAACTTCATAATTTTTTAGCTTTTAAGCCCAAATTATGTGACAAACATTACTTGTTCGCGCTGAAAATAATGATTTGTTTTTAATATATCATTTAAGATACTTATAGTTCTAATTAAATGTTAAAAATAAGAGATTAAAATATATCTTAAATACCTCTTTCGGTAAGCATATGTATACACCTAGGTAATTTATTAAATTATTTTTTTTACAGAATTTTATTAACTATTACTTCTTGCATGTTAATTTTACTTATTAGTATTAAAATTTTTAGTTTATCAATGAAAAAACTGTCAAAAAGTCTATATTCTGTTAATCAGAGCGTAACTCGACAGCTGCAAACGTTTAGAAATCGTTTGTCTTGACTCCGTCTGGAAATTGTCGTGAACCAGATAATTGTAATTTATAGATCCGACAATAATTTAAAGGCCACCCACGGAACTCTACTGAACCAGAGCTCGCTTTTTTTGCGCGTGTGTTTTCATTACACGAGCGAGAATATGCCAATAGATGCCTTTTTGGGTTTGTGTCAACAGTTGTTCAGCCAAAGAGACCTTCGGTTTTACATACCTGCTTTTTCTAAGTTATTTCTACGCTAGTGAATCTGCGCTGCTATAGTATCTGATTATGAAAATTCTCCTTTTTGCATTTACACGTGTTTATTTTTTTAGTCAATTTCAGACAATACTTCTAGTATCCAAAGAGTACTTAGAAATTTCTTGAACTTGAGATGACTTTTCTGAATGTTTTTTATGAAATTTCTTCCTTGATTAAAAATCAAGCCTTTTGAAAACGAAAAACACAAGATTAAACTCAAAATAACAGAGCTATAATTATTTTCGGGACTAGGGCGAATCGAATAAGTACTTATTGTAATGTAAAAATAGATGTAAGCTCGTAAATTTATATCAACAATTACAAAAATCACAAGAACGGAACATACGATAAAAGAAAAGAAACATTCACCCTGAGTGGCATTCTCAACTTTTTTTACGTTGGTGAACGATCTGACAACAACTTTGTTTTCTATATATAGCGTATTGGTTAATCTTTTCACACACTGGCGAATATTAGTTCGTGAATTTACAGTCGTTACCAAAAGAAAATATATCAATTCTACGATTCAAAATTTTGATAAATTTTTATATTACCTATATTTCATCAACTGCAGGATGTTCTTTTGTGTCTTGCAGGCGTTTTGAGGCAATGATTATTGATTTTGGTAAACTCGTTTAATTAAGTTTTCGTAAAATAAAAGAAATAGCAATGTTTGAATAGAAGGTTTCGTAATTTCATTCAACATATAAATAAAGTCTGGATTAAAATAACGTAATAAGTTGAATGGTACCTTCACTAATGATTCAGCATAATATCACACCCGCATTTGTTTTTATAAAAGTGATCATTAAAGAAAAGGAAATTTTAAGATTTTTTCAGATGAATATCCCAATCGGTGTAAGAATATTTTATTTATATTTTTTTACTTCTTAAATTCTGCCGCCCTAGGCCCAGTACTCATAAATCTGAAACCTGGTTTTAAACGTAGCTTGAATTAGCAGCTATTAATTCTGACGATTCATGCGACTGGACTTGCTAATGAAATAAAATGCTTAGTATGGTTTTGCAGCAATATCTTTCATATTAAATTGTGTCTCCGACAGTTCCTATGCGTGTTTCCGTGGTGGTATCTACAAGATCTTTATGTTATGTAAATTCTTCCTGAATGTGTAAAAACAAACCCCCAAAACGGTAAACAATTATTTGTAGACCATAAAGATACTTGTCCTGTCCGACAAAGAACCCTCCATCCCTACGGGGCGGTGGAAATAATTTTTAGCCCCTGCGTTACCAAGTCTTTAAATATTTTAATGCCATCTCAATTTAATTCGTTTAAAGATGTTTAAATTCAACACATCATATTATGCAAAATTACGAAGAAGGCTTTTGTTGGTACTTTCTTTATTTATGTTTACTTTTTAGAGATAATTGTAAAAACAAACGAAAAGAACTTGTTCAAATTATTTAATATTACAGAAAATTAAATCGTTCTGTATAAATATGTTATGCTTTTAAATATGTTTATGATTTCACAAATATGATTATGATTTCATGTCTCGTACCTAGATTAATTTACATAAACGATGTCGCCTTCAATATTTATATTTCTTCCTGTCGCGGCGCGTGCTTGATGTTTTCCTGGCAATTTAAATCCAAGCCATTAGAACAGTATAATGCTGTTGTGCATTTATTAAGTAGATATAATAATAATACAAAACAATATTAATTAAATACATAAAATTTTAGAGTTTAATTGTCAATTTTTGTACAGTTTTATTTGTTTGATCTAGTGGTCTCACATAAAATTGCAATTTTACTTTTTAACGTTGTAGAGTCAATCTGCAGCTATGTTATGGTTGTAGCACGAGTGGGTCTGCTTGCGCGCTCTCACGGAATACCAGCGTAAAATAGGAACTTAATGCTTCGTGTGGTTAGTGTAGAGAAGCGGACTAAGCGGAGACCCTTCTTATTATAAGCGAGGCATTCCATCTTATTTCTCAGGGGTGACACCGCATCGGCATTTTGATTCTAAATCGAAGATAAATGTAGATGCACACCACCCAGCTACCATTAGAGGGACTGTGTATTGGTCTGTCACCCTTATTCTATAAAAAAACCTCGCCTCGTTTCCAGTAAAAAAGGGTCTCCGGATCTCTACACTCACCATACGAAACACAGCAGTATTAAGCTACTATTTCACGCTGGTATTCTGTGAGAGCGTGGTCCTTCCCCGGTCGAGCCGACCCATTCGTGCTACATCTAATATAACTGCAGCATGGCTCTACCACGTATATAATTACCACGTATAAAAATTAACGCCACATTAAAAAGATTGTACCCAGGCCGAGTCAGAGAGGGTCGCTAGGACATAATAAAATATCAAGTTATTTTCCTAAAAAATTTTAGACATCTACAGAACTACACAGATCTCAAGTTAAACTTTTTAGTAGAATATTATTTTACGAAATTTCGGCATTTCTTGAATCGAAAGTGAGTTAAAGATTCGCACAATCATGAATGAAATAATTAACCCCGATTAAATGTACAATATTATACTTACTTGGACAAGATATCTCTGGCATTGGACGTGGACGATCACGACAGTAAGTTTTTTTTCTGATTGGGCTCATTCGTTGTGGTTGTAGCCAAATAAGTCCGTGTGTATGAAGGTGATCGAGTGATTCAGTTTGTCGCGTAGGTGTCTACAGAGACCCTGAGAGGCAATTCGATCGACGCAGGCTCAGTCGCACATCCACTTTCATTCAATTGCATCGTAGTTATATACTTGTTGTTGCATAGTTTTTGTGAAATAAACTGCAATTTTGTTTGAGTGCATTTTCTTAAGTTAAACGTAACACTTCTCTATTCGAGGTAATACTATGATCTTTAATATGCTATATTTTCTGAATGTTTTCTTTATGAAATAATTTGCTCATGTTTCGTTATAACGATTGTGTATAAATCCTGTACCTGAAAAAGTAAACAGAACATTACCTATATATGAAAAAATTGATAAATTTATATTTGTGATTGGTTGTTTATAGATATTCGCGTTGTTTTCACTGAAGAAATTGAAAGTTATCTTTTATTAAAATTAAAATATCTTATTAAAACCCTAATGTAACCTCACTTCGAAATAGCTGTAAGTTTTATTTTAAGATGATGATAATAACTCATGAATAGTCTACTGCTGGACACGCACCTCTCGCATAGAATATCTTAGTCAACTCGTATTGCCGTAACTACCTTCTTGGCAGGTTTCGATCACTGTACGAGATTTTTTGCCGATGCTCCTCATTGTCGATTCAACTATCTGTTAGAGGTTTTTGACATTTTCCATATCTAATTTTTAGACAACAATAATAATAACAATTTTTACAACTACGGAATGAGCTATATAATATGAGGATGAGAGTAATGGACTATCTGACGTGGCTTTCACATAGCTGTACTTTGGGAACTTCCTAAACTGTGGTTTTCGTACGTAATACGTAATAGTAGCGGGGGTTCAGGACGAGCGGCGGGTCCAGCTGCGTCTTTGCACGGACGCTGGCCGCCGCCACGCGTCGCTCACACCCCGGCGCCCTGCGATTATGAGCCGAGCAAGTCTGCCCGAGCAGTGTTAGATCACGCACCAGCGTTTTCTATCGGTCTGCGTGTCAGCCTCCCGCAGCCCGGCAGCCAGTCGCCAGGTGCAATACGAATTCAACGGATCGACACGTAGCATACGCTTTGTGACATTCTTCATAGCGCACTTTCTGTCGTATACTTAGCATATTTTTATATCATATTAGCATGTTGTTAGTGTTTTGTTTCATTTTTTTCAATGATTCCTGGTATGCCCAAACTTTATTCTCATTTCCTTATCTCATATTTTTCATACCATGTGATACCAATGTTATTTGATTTTATGTTTTCTTTTTAATGTTTTGTTTGCTCTATATATTTATTCCATCATTATTCATAGGTTAAGTTGAATGTTATGCATAAATAAATTTTGCTTTATGTTTTACTTTAACATCCGAATAATATTTAATATTAAACTGTGAACATAATAAGGCCTGTTTTGAGATGACTGTTGAACATAAAATATAATTTATTTGCTCTACATTTTGATAATTTTAATGTATCTTAATTATTTTAGTAAATCCATTTATTTCATGCCATTGATATTATTTTAATACCATATTAGCATCTTTAGTTTGACTATTTATTGGTACGAGTTTCAGCTGCTAAAAATAATATTTTTTTTTTGCATTTTGTTAATAATTAAAAAAAACTTGTGTTATGTAATTTGGGAAATTGTTAATATTATCATTATTTTTTTTGTATTTTCAGCGCCAAATATATATTCTATGCCGCCTGTCCTCGGAGAAGCAAAAGAGGGTAATAAAAGAGCTGCACCAGCTTTTAGCATCACAGGTCGCGGTAAAACTATTGAGTGCAAAACTCCAATGCCCGGTCCGGGGACTTATACTACGGACAAGGCCACATCAGCACTCAATAGAAGACCCCCTTCGTATACTATGGCGCCGAGGAGAGAAGTGAAATCATCGTCTGCTTCTGTACCCGGCCCTGGTGTTTATTGTCCAGAAAAGGTAAACACACAAATATTTGTTACAAACAAATAAACACCCTGACAAATTAATAAACGCATGGTTTTAAAGAAATTAACAATAATAATATTCTTCTGCTTGGTTTATAGTTGGCAATGTTACTCAAGTACATAGTTCCTGTTAAACTTTCGTGCGCGTATTAAATCGTAAAAACCATATATTCTAAAAACTAGCACATATAGCGCGATATATGTCACTTAGAACATTTACAGTGTAAAAATAAAGAAAAAATCAAAAACTCGACAACAGACCGATTATGAAAATTTGGGCCTGATAGACAACCGATTAACGGGCCCAGATTATGAGATATTTTTTTTTGGGACTAAACAGTCAATTTAGGTATATAAATATAGAATTTGTTAATAACCTGACTTCAACGCCGTATATCGGTTCCTAGCTTAGCTATGAACCTTCGTCTAGACAAAACAATATATTGTATGTATATTGCCTACGAAGCACCAACGCGGTTACAATATATAAATAAAAAAGCATATGGGTGCCGTTATGATATTACCAAAAATTATTAAACCATACATAGTATTATTAATTAATATATATTTTTGCAAATTTTTAAAATCTGGCAACACTGTTGACGGCAACGGTATTTTAAAATGCGCGGCGGACATATAGGCCCACAGAATAGAAATAGAAACAGAAACTTTTTTATTCGATATAGATTATAAATAATACTTATTGAAAGTCACTCGTTTTTTTAATTACCATTGGTTCGCAAAAAACCTCAGTCCTGGGAAGAACCAGCAAGAAACCCTAACCCGAAAGTGGGACTATTTAAAAAAGAAACGGTTTAACTTCATGTATGTTACACAAGTAATCAACACAAAATAAATTAAAAATATCTTAGTAGCGATCAACTCATTCCCAGGGGTTATTATCATCTATAAATTCCTTAATATTATAATAACTCTTTTTATACAAACTTAGTTTTTGAACTTTGAGCCGGTTCCCAGAAAAATATTAGAAAATAAACAAAATTTTGTGTATTTTTTGTAATTTTGTTAAAAAAGCATATACGTCGCCCCAACAATGAATTACCGACTCGGTGGAGTCGAGTAACTGGTACTACTAGCTTGTGTCTGTTCCTAGTATTTGCAGAATATTTATCACTTTTTTTTTGTAGAACAACTTTTATTTTTGTACACGTACATTAAATTGAGAGACGAGCCGTGGTAGCTCAGAGGGTAATGCTCGCTGTAAATATAACAGAACGCGAGTAACTCGGGTTCGATCCCCGCCGGCACCAATGAAATTGTTAACTGCAATTTTAAGTGCTGATTTACCAAGTGCTCGGCGGTGAAGGAAAACATCGTGAGGAAACCTGCGTGTCTGAGGAATAAGAAAAAAAATATTTCGAAGACATGTGAAGTTCGCCAACACGCATTGGGGCAGCGCGGCGGACACTTTCTTGCCCTAAAACCCTCTCAGAAATGAAGGGAGGCCTGTGCCCAGCAGTGGGACGTATATAGGCTGTAACTTTTTTACTTTTTACATTAGATTTACATGCCCTTTTCTGTAAAACAAATATAATTTTAGTGTCAGTCATGTATCTAAAGTAAACTAGTCTAACTGTTGCAATACTGTTAAGACTTTAAATTTTTTACAGCATATGCTGAATAACTAAGTCTGCTTGCTAGTGTTGATATATGGTGGCCCCATTGAAGCTATGCGTCTAGTGTGATTTCAAAAAAAAAAACTGTGGTATCCACATAGTTACATGTTTGACATTTGTAGTTACAAGACTATAAGATCCTTAAGACGACCGTAGCTACCGTGTGTATTGCCATGTAAGTTTCCCTATTTTATTAAAATATTGTTATTATTGTAGGGTTCCTAATTTTTATTTATTATCTGAAAAGGATAAATGAATAAAATCAAATCAAGATACTTAATTAAAAGTATCCTCGCGGATGGAACAAGTTTTTTACATATTGTATACAATGACTTCTACCACAGTCCATATAATATGCCTTTATTATACTGTGCTTCTGCGTTGTATATTAGATTATAAAGATAAAAAGTAAAGTGTTTCAAGGATTGTATCATTTGTTACTTAATGATGACAAGAACAAAAAACAGTTGTACTATAATGTGATTGTGGGCGTGATGGACTTCAAATTTTAATTATTCTTCTTTATAAGTGAATAAAAACTTGAATACAACTCGTGCATGTTGTCAATAATGATATAATATGAACTTGAGGGGTGATCATTTACTGCTGGCGGCATGAGAAAGCATGGAGTCGCCTAGCAAGCTATGGGAGGGCTATGCTCGGAGTTTGTGTCTGTGATAGACTTCGTAACGAGAATATCCGCAGTGGAACGAGAATAACCGACATAACCTAACGGATCATTAAGCTAGTGTAGCCGGCCATATAACACAATTTACCGAGAACGATGAGCAGCCTCGTAATTTCAAACTAAGTGTAGGCAAAGAAAATATACACTACGCGAAAAGAAACGACACTCAAGCATGTGTGCACGTAAAATCGCTTGCGGCTATGTGTGGGGGTGTGTGGATGTGCGCGGAGGCCTTGAGAGGCGCGCGGGGCGTGGAACAGGCAGTCGCCGACTGCCCTGGCCGAGGGCTAGTTCCTAGTAGTTCGCTAGTTCGCGTCTCATCTCTCTAATCTCACGCACCGCACGCAAGCACAGACTGACTGCACTTTATACAAAAATATCATTGTTGTATTTGAGGATTATTTGATTAGAAATAAAAATGACTTATCTCCTCAAAACATAGGGAACAATTTGTTGGCCGCCATGTCCCAGGAAACCTTTGACATGCCATGCCTGTGCTTGCTTCCCTTTGGATTTTCTAAAAAAAATATACATATAGAAATAATAATAAAAATTATAAAAGTAGTCGAAAAATCCAAAAATAGTAAATTAATTTTTAAAGTGTAATAGGAAATACTGATTATTGCGTACTGAAATGCTAAGTGTTGGTTAATTATTTAAGATTACCATTAACTGTCGTGCATGTTTGGTTTTGTCGGAAGTTTTAATATTCCCCATGTGTAAACATATTTAATAAAAGTTGATTTAAAATTTAACGTATCTTTCAATACCTAAATACATAAGTTTACATAATATATAACATATACTTACTACGTATCTTCTTTGGCACAAGTCTATAATATTCCATTTCGGTTCGGTATCAACCCTAGCGTTACACGCTTCGACTCAAGGCCTTTCTATGGTGATTGTAATGATGATGATGAACACGACGACCGAATATGAAATTTTTTGTATTTGAACGTGGTTCTTGCTAAATGTATACAATATTTTTGGTTATTATGTTAAGATGTAATATGATATATTATGATAATACCTATGTGGATGCTGAGACCCATTGACACCTCCATCTAATCTCGATTAAAAATCAAAATTGAAATGCACCCTTGAAGACTAAGTTTCCAGTAAAATGGGTCTTCAGTTCTCTATATTCAACATATGAAACATAGCAATATTGGGCTGCTATTTTACGTTGGTATTCTGTGTGAGCGCGGTCGAGTCGTGGTATAACATAATATACCTGTAGCATGATTCTACCACGTACATTGTAAGTTTCGAGTAACAGTTTAATTTTTTTCTATAAATATATTAGCAAAATAGTATTTTTAATATAAATCGTATTTATAATAACTAACTTCGGGAAATGGCTGTATGACAGGTGTGCGTGAATCTTCCGTGGGCGCCAGCGCATACATTTGGCATTCGTCATTCGCAGTACGCTGGCCATGCTTTGCATTATCCTGCACCAGAAGAAAAAATATCAACATTTTAAAACTGTCTGTACTCACATAATATTAACAAAGTAATAAAAAATTTCTACTAATGTTCTTGCTATCCATTCGTAGCTAGATTTTTTATTCATTCATTATCATTAATTTAATTAAGCAAATGCTATATTAGAGTCACATTAGTTAGTCACAAATATTATTGACTATTTTACGAAGTTGAATTCATTTTTAATTACTGTCCACTAAATAATTTACATGCTGCTATATGACAATTAACCGAAGTGAGAGATAAAAGGTATGTTAATAGTTGAACCGCTAATATTATATCTCTTTGTAATTATTTTTTTTATGTACGATTATGATTGTTTTATGATTGCTTACTAATAAAATCATAAAAAACACTGTATAATGATTACATAATTTTCTGCTTTTTCAATTTCAAAAGGCTGCGGGATCTCTCGCATTGAGGATTTGTTGTAATCCCATGACAAACGATGGAGCGATCGTAGTAAAAAATGTCATGCAAATTTGATACTGCCTCCCATTGTTGCTATTAAAATGGTTGCACTGCTATGGGAGGAACACACACGTCTATTCGAGGTCATCATAGACATACTAAAAATATTTAATCAGTACGGATATCTGCATAGTATGTCTTACAGACGCCTTTTACAATACTCACAGGGAACTCCGTTATCACAAGTCGATATAGTTGTATGATTTATTAGTTATCAAATATATATTTCGTATGAATTTTAAACGACACTATTTAATAAAAAAATATTAATGACTTTTCAACAAAATTAGAACTTAGCTATGATGATTTCCAGGCTGACGCAGTTCTACACGAAAAATCTCCAAAGTATAGTCTCTCTGGTAAAGGGAAAATTGAGAAAATTGAACACGTACCAGCTCCTAATGCATATAATCCTGAAAAAGCAGACAGAATATTAAGAGAAAAATCGCCAGCTTATACATTTAGAACAAAAACTGAAGTTATAAAAGTGCACGACGCTCCAGCGCCAAATGTGTATTCTCCAGAAAAATCTCTTCACGTTCTCAAAAGTGGGCCAAAATATACATTAGCGGGCAAAGGAGCAGCTGAAAAACACGAATTAACACCGGCACCCAATTCATATAATCCGCAAAAAGCTGACAAAATATTACACGAAAGTTCACCAGCGTATACCATACGCTCAAAAGAAGTTGTGGAAAAGATCGAACAAACTCCCGCACCTAATGTATACGCTCCCGAAAAATCGATAGATATGCTTAATGGTGGGCCAAAGTTTAGTATGTCTGGCAAAAACGAGATTACCAAAATCAACGAAACACCGGCACCAAACTGTTATAATCCAGATAAAGCTGACAAACTTCTACATGAATCATCACCGTCATATTCATTTAGAAAAAAGGATCAAATAAAGAAAGTAGATAATACTCCTGCCCCTAATGCGTATGCACCAGAAAATTTTTTAAGCACGCATGAAAGTTCACCAAAATTTACTATGGGCGGAAAGGGTCACTCACCAAAAGTTGATTATGTACCTGCTCCAAACTCCTATAGTTTAGATAAGGTTGATAAACTTCTTTATGATTCCACACCAGCTTACACGTTTAGGTCGAAACCATCTGCTGATAAACCTAACGATACGCCGGGTCCAAATGTTTATGATCCGCATCTATTAGATGGAACACCAAAGTTTAGTCTTTACGGTAAAGGATCTGAAGTTAAACCCGTTGATACCCCTGGACCAAATGCTTATGACCCTCATTTATTGGATGGATCTCCAAAATATACTATGGCAGGAAGAAGTCCATTAAAAAAACCATCTGATGTACCAGCGCCTAATGCTTACAATCCGCATCTACCTGAAGATTCTCCTAAGTTTTCATTTACTGGTCGCACTCCCGACGGAAAACTATTAGAAACGCCAGGTCCAAACACATATGATCCACATATGCCTAATGATTCTCCAAAATTCACTATATCTGGTAAAGGGGTGGATGTTAAACTATCCGATACTCCCGGACCTAATACATATGATCCTCATTTATCATCAAGCGGTCCCAAATTCACAATGTGCGGTAAAGGGCATCCTGATAAAATCTATAATTCACCTGCGCCAAATGCGTATTCACCTGAGAAAGCTAATAACATGATATTTGAACATTCTCCATCATATACCTTTAGTAGTAAACACCCACTTACTAGGTTTTTGAATACTCCTGCACCTAATACTTATGACCCAAGCAAATATATTCACATGTTGGATGGTGTGCCTAAATATTCCTTTGGGTTAAAAGGGCCAGCAGAAAAACCTTCTACAAATCCTGCTCCAAATGCTTACTGTCCAGAAAAAGCAGATAGAGTCCTCCACGAGAATTCTCCATCATATTCATTCCGTCCAAAAATTGAAAACAACAAGATCAACAACACTCCGGCACCTAATTTTTACAATCCTGAAAAAGCAGACAAAATTCTTTTGGATAACGCACCACGTTATTCATTTAGAATTAAAACAAACCCACATAAAGCAGATAATATTCCTGCTCCAAACGCATATAATCCCGACAAAGCCGATAAAGTTATGATGCAAAGTGCTCCACAGTACACTTTTAGGATTAAATCAGATACGTTAAAGGCTATCGATACACCTGGTAAGATATTTTATTTTTATTTTTTAGGTAAGTAATTTCTGTGGCCTATAGAAACCGACTCTTATTCGTCAAAACGTAGATGCGTTGTCACCCTTGAAGACGAAGATGGAATGGCCCGTTACTAAAAAAAAAAAACAAAGCCGCTGCGTTATGCTGCTATTTCACGTTGGTGTTCTGTGCGATTGTAGTCCTTCTCCGTTCATGTTGACCCACAATTTATGTAGGCATAAAATTTTACGAGTACTACGCTATTAAAAAAAACTTTGTTTTATAAAATTTTATATATAGTAGAGCCGTGCTGCAGTTATATTAGTAGTATAGTTGTAGCATGAATGGGTCGGCTCGACCGGAGAAGCACCATGCTCTCACAGAATACCAGCGTAAAATAGCTTAATGCTGCCGTGTTTCGTATGGTGAGTGTAGAGAACCGGATACCCTTTTTACTAGAAACGAGGCATTCCATTTAGTCCTTACTCGTGACAAAGCATCTGCATTTTGATTTGTAATCGATGATAGATGTAGATGGCTATGGGCCACAGTAACCACTTACTATCAGGTGGACTGTGTGCTCGTTTGTCACCCTATCCTATAAATAAAAATAAATAAATAGATGACAATGCATCTGTAGCCAATGAAAAAAAAGTTTTGAAGTTGCCATGTCAGTTTTATAAAAAAGATAATTATTTATATTTCTTATTTTCTTCAGCACCGAATTCGTATAATATCCCTTCGCCAGTTAAAACTCCATTGTACACGATTTCTGGCAGACACAAGGAACCAATAAATGAACGTTTGAAGGTCCCGTCACCTGGCACATATAATCCAGAAAAGGGATACAAATTTGTCTTAACCTACTCTCCGCAATACACTTTTGGAATAAAAATTCACACGGATAAATATACCAAATCACCTGGTAAGTCAAATAGTTAAGTTTAAATAATAGACCTAAACTCCTTTCCTTTATTGAAAAATCATGCTGTTAAAATGATTATTTAACTTAGTCTTTATAATAATATTTTCTGTATCTATCGTTTTATAGATTAAATAAGAAAATTACACAAGTGTATAACATTAATTAATATGAATTGCGATTTAAGAATATCTATTATCTCATATCGTCCCTTGGATGTCGTAAGAGGCGACAGGTGGAAACTGAAACACGAAAATGGCAGCAACATCTTCAGCAACAAAATAATAAAAAAACTGCGGTTGCCAACTCACCTCCCAAGCATGGCAACTATGGCAAAATCCCCCCCCAATGACACAATCAATGGGGATGGCCTATGTTCAGCAGTGGACTTTATAGGCAGTACTGAATAAATGAATATTATTATACAATATACATGTTAATCTTTAGATGACCTGATAAAAATATAACTGTAGATATTTTCTATTTTCAGCTCCCAATGCTTACCGTATCCCATCTGTTCTGGATACTCCGGTATATACGTTTTCAGGGCGGCATAAAGTTCCTGTTGATGATAGATCTCAAGTACCTGCGCCTGGCACCTACTCCCCCGAAAAGGTGCGAAGTGTTGATTAAAAATGAAACTTAAAACTTCTTATATATATTTATCGCCAAAAACTGCAGTACAGAAGGATTTTATGATTATGTTTAGTTTTTATTATTACAGTCCGCGCATCTGTTCTTTTTATTAATATATTAAAAATGTGGCAATTTTATTAGTTGTAATCTATAACAATTGATAAGTAGTTAATAGTACTGTACGAATCATTATTCCGAGCTTCATCACATCAGCTCATAGACAACAGAAGTGGAAATTCAATAGTTTTTCTCTTAGCCCACCCACGGATTGTTGAGAAGAGTTGGGATTATGGTTTCTTATGCCACAACTACAAGTCGAAAATAAATAATATTACAATGTCATCATTTCAATTTTGAATATTAGGGGTTAAAGTATGAATTTGCCTATTTATACTGAACAATTAAAAACTCATTTTCTCTAAAAATATTCTAATCAAAATGTATACCTAAATCTATATTTTTCTCTCATCTCGAAGAAATATCGTTCATGCCCTTGCGATGAAACTCTGGAGATATGAACTTTACAAAACATGTAAAGCCACTTTTTACCGCTCACTGAGAATAAAATTTTTCTTCCAGAAAATTGTCCAAATTTTGGAAAAAAGGTAAGCGGTTAGCTTAAGAGAGTATGAAGCACAAAGTATGGTTTCTAAATATAGATCTTGTACGATTTAAATATTTTGTCGAGTAGATTCGTCTTGGTCTTGCTGTGAATTACATCATACAGTTAGCACTACTTTTCTATGGATGGTTGCGATATTTGACCAGAATTTTTCTATTCATTTCCACTACGAAAGCAATGAAACCAAAAACGCACAGTGATTTATTAACTCTATTCGTTAAAGTCTTCTTCTTTTTCTAGTACCGTATGTAAAAATAAATAAAATCAAAACAACAGAAGGGCGTAAAATCGTAATCGCATGGCGCATTTAGAATGTTATAGTTTTCGTGTAAAAAGTTCTAGTATTGAGTTAATTTAAATTTAAAGTGATCTTTTCATTGAAACGGTAACTTCATGCTTTAATCCCTATTATATTTATATGGACAAAAAGGATACAATATTAAAAATAAAAAACATATAACATTTCATCATCATTAATTTGTAGTAGTTGTGTAACTATTTATGTATTGTAAAATAACAAATTATTCTGTTATTGTTAATAATTACTTTAGTACAGTTTAAAATTTAAAATTACATCCTTCTGATAAAATGTTTTCCACACAGGTGCAGTTGAATAAAACGCCACAGATTACTTTTGGAATTAAACATTCTCCATTATTAGGTCAACTCAAACCTATTAAACCAATACAATCAATCGAAAATGAAACAATAAAAAAAACAGCTATTAGAGATGGACCTCCGAAGCAAAGGAATGTAAGTTCAACGAGTAGACAAGACAATGAGGTTATTGTGCAAACTAATAATTTAAACGACAATTTAACTAAACAAGATACGACGCAAATCTGTAACGATGACTTAAATCAATCAAGTATTGATGTTCATAATAAACGTACGCATGCAACTCATTTAAGATCTTCGAGCGATGTTAGAAGTACCACTGCAACTCCTGAACTTGTACAAGAAACTCTTACTCAAGAAATAGTTTGGATACCAGAAAAACCTATTCGGCGCGGTTCCTACACCATAGATACATCTGACGGAACTGGATTTAAAGAAAGGTATGAAATAAATGAAACTGTCCCAGTAAGAGATGGGATTATGTATTTACGTGAAAGTGGAGAAAGAGGAGGTTCAAATGAAAGTGATCATAGTCGGGAAATACTTGAAAGCGATGAGTATAAACAAGTAACCGATAGGAATGTTACTAACGCAAGTGCGTTTGAAAAAAAGCAAGAAAATACTAAGGAAGTGTACACAGATACAAATATTAAGGAATTGCCAAATGGGGGAATATCAACGACCACAACTACAAAAACTGTAAGAAAGGTTGGCACAAATGCTAAAACCGCTAATGCCACAACTAATCTTACTCGTACTAACGTTACTGTGACGTCTCGGGATGTTGGGACTAAATGAAAATAAATTAAATAGGTAATTATTGAAAAGATTTAGCATGACATAGTAGAAGCTTATTTAAAAGTCCAAGTTACATTGTTTTGTTTAATGCTTTTTTGTTTAATAATTGTTTATTTTGGTATGAATTTACAATTATTTAAATAGTTTTATTCTTGCACATTTTTATTTAATAAAATATAGATCTTGTTTCCAAAATATTATTCATTAAATATAATGTATTTAACTTTACTAATTTATAATGTGATTATTAATATTAAATATTATATTTTTCGCATATATGCTGCGCTTTTATTCAAACTTTACCCCATCACCAACTCATTTAGTGTGTTTTATGAATTCATTTTAGGTAATAACGGATTATATTTAGGTGTTTACTAGCTTGCCAGGCAGACGTTGTTCTGCCCTTTTCGACGAACTTTGTCATGTCCTATTAAAAATCTCACTCATGGGCAAAAAAAAAAACTATCCTATCTCTCAAGTTGGACCAAACTGCACGCGGTGTGTAAATTTGATTAAAATTGGTTAAGTAGTTTAGGAGTCCATAGCGGACAAACAACGTGACACGTAATTTATTATTAAGATTTATAGATGAGGAGACAAACGAGCATGCAGCTCACCAGATGCTAAGTGACTATCGCTGCCTATAAACAAATGCAAAAGCAGGGGAATTGCAGTTGCGTTGACGATCTTTTCGAAAAAAGTAAGCTCTTTTCTTGAAGGTCCCTAAGTCGTACCGGTCCGGAAAAATCGCTTTGTCGTAATAGCGGCAGGAATTAATCAGGACAATTTCTCGATGCGCAAAGCAATATAATAATACGCAAAGAGATGCTACGTCCTTTCGCTGCACTAGTGAAAGGAAGCAGATCAGAAAGAACTCAGTCGTAAACTATTCGACCCGCTCTGCGCTTGATGCGGTCAAGTGGAAGTAGCTGGCACTAGGGTGCTCCGGCCCAGAGATAAGTATAGTATTCGAGGAGTATAGTATGTTGTGAGGCTGAACTTGCACCTCGTAAAGCTGCAAGCGATGTGTCTGAGTGAAATACTGTCACACTCTGCGGAGCACACCAAGCATTTTAGAGGCCAATTTAGACTTCCTTTCTTAGTTATAACGAAACAGCATGTCATTCAATATGTAGACGCAAGGGATTCCGATGCTAGTTGAGTAGCAAGGAAAGTGCCTGCAATTGAAGAGATACGATAAAAGAGTCGTTTCTAACGGTAAACTCGCAAACCTGTGTATTCTGAGAGTAAAACTTGAATAGATTTAGTCGTCCCCAATCCGAGACTTTTCTTAACAACGACTCGACTTCAGACACCACTTTGTTCCGGTACTCAACGACGTGATCTCGAGAAATATTGGCAGGGTCGGTAGAAAAACCATAACTTGTGCCGTGTTTGCATAGCAATATTATGTATATCATTGATATGCAGAAGAAACAGCGTAGGATCTAGCACGCAGTCTTTTGAACACTGGTGGTTGATAGGCATCGGTGGACGCACCGGCTACTACGATCTTGATGCTCCGATCCAATCCCAACCCAAAACTGGTGATCTAATTGCACAATATCTTGGGAAGCCCATAGGAAGGAAACTTCGAAAGAAGCGTTTTGTACTAAACCAGATCAAAGGCCTTCGTTATGACCAAACTAATGGCCAAGGCCTCCTACTTGGAATTTATTACCTCCGCCCATCTATGAGTTAAGTAGTCGTATTGGCGATCACTGATCAGCTGAGGAACCTCAAGGTACTTCATGAGCCAGCAGTTTATAACAGATTCCATTATTTTGGAGAACAACAAGGTGATGGCGATAGGCTTGCAGTTTTCGGGATTGGGTGGATCAAAGCTGTCTTCCATGAATTTTGATTACGCCTAGGGAGTAGGAGTACCGGAAAAGCGTGTTAGAACCGGTGTCAACTCGGAAGCACACGTTTTCAGCACCATGGGAGGGACTCCATCAGGCCCACTCGACTTGTTGACGTCCAAAGAGTACTTTGTGCACCGAACGCTGCATAAACCTCACATCCGGCATGGAGTACTCATACCGCAGGATTGTTGGCGGTGTTTTACCTTCGTCATCCAGAGTCGAGTTGAACACAAAAAGAGTGCCTAACAGATTGGCTTTTTGCATTGTGGCATGGATTAGTGAGTCGTTCTCCCTGTGCAGAAATGAAATGGTTTGCCGCAAATCAGCTGCCGCAATCTTGAGGTTCCATTGGACAGCCTTGGCGAGAGAACAGAATGTACAGGTTCCCAAAGGAATGCGAACTAGTTTCTAGCCAATTCTTCCGATGTGCTCTGACTCTACCTTGGCAATGACTCTTCTGAAAGGCCTGGAGGCAGAATTATACTTCTTTTTAAGATCGCTGGTGTTTACATACCATGACGTTGACACGTCAGTCTAGGCTTCATAGAGATTCTGTTTGCGTGATGCCATTTTACATGAGCGACCAAACAATGGCCGATCTGCCTTCGATGGATACCACAGAAGATGGAATAAAATGTTCCATACCCTGAAGTACCGCATCAGCGACGTAATCAGTAACAACGTTGGGATCGTCTGTCAAGAATATAGCCCGTCCCCAAGGGTAGGATAAAAAAATCCTATCCCAATCAGCGACCTATAGCACCTCAATCTCGCGGTTGGCGTGAGTGGCACCATACTTCAGATCAGGCAGTGGTCCAAGGAGCCAAGAGAAGCAACGGAGACTTAATATCCGTTCGGATGAGACGTCAGCAGAAGGTCTAACAAGGATGGTACATAGTACGAGGTGTTTGTAAGCCTTACAGTGTTCCAATTTGTACTCCGGGTAGGAGAGATACTAAGTATCAGTGGGAGAGGAACACGTGCGTCTCACGGTCGGAAAGAGTCATGTTTCCCCGTCTCCAGCTAGTAGTGGACGGCTGGGTGTCGCAAATGCATAGTAGAGTTAAGAGGCGAATATATATTGATATCGCTTTGCCTTTACGTCATCGTGTGTCTCGAGGGACACACTGTGGGTGGCAGGACCGTGCTTTGTGGCATTACTTGGGGGAGGCCTATGTTCAGCAGTGGACTTGTGAAGGGCTGTAATGATGATGATGATGATGATTACGTCATCGTTCCATGCAGAGATAATCAATCCACGTAGAATTATTTATTAATAATATAATTATTTTAAATTTTGATTTGTTTATGGTAGAATTTTCAGTAATAAAATTATTTATTATATGGGAACCACCAGATTTTGGTTATTCATTGCATCTATATGTTATAACTATGCCAGCAAGCAATACGTTGGTATTATTATTTACTCTGTGACGATGTGCATGGTTGTTAATTAAAATTTACAATAATATCTGTTCTTTGGGTGCGACCGTTGTGAAGTTAAAAATAATTACAAATGCTGCGTATTGTTTATCGGTTGTACATATTTTACAATAATCGGAGCGGATGTTTTCGTATGATAAATTGAGCAGAGTGCGGAAACATGCCCTCCGGATAAGTGGGCACTGAACTATTTTTTGCGCCTACGCAGCCTCAGTAAATAAAACTTTTACGTCTGGTTATCTTGTAAAATTTACCGTGCTTTATATTGTTTGCAACTGTACGTAGATGTTTTGAAAGATTAAATTGTTATTCTATATTTAATATATGTTGATAGGACCTGTTGTAATTTAAACATTTGTGTATTTAATATTTGACATATTGGCATAACGGAAACGTTAAAAATATTGATAAACATTTTGGCTAAGTGTATGTGTTTATCGATTAAAGTTAAAATACTTAATTTGTAATGTAGATAAACACATTCCGGGAGATTATATTAGAATAATCGATGGTTTTGTAATGAATGATAAATAATTATAAAAATAATAAATGGTCATATTATCCATCCATCCATCCATTATAGACTATATACATAGGCATAAATTGCCGCGTGGGGAGACTTTACCATAGTCGCCAAGTTTGGCAAGCTGTTTGGCATGATTTTGAGTTGTTATTAGGAAGATAATGCTGACTATCTCCTGTTTGACTTTCAATATGTCGCTTCTTACAAATTAATTATACACGTAAAAATCAACACTTACATTATACGCGTGTGTCCTGAAAATAAAATTCATCTTCCTGCAGATAGATAAGTATTATATTTATGTCCGTAACGAGATATGGCATCTCAAGAGCGAGATAAATATATAAGCAATTTAGTATTCAGCTCATGTAATAAATGAATGTATTAGTGCAATTAAGTGCTAGTCCTACAATTGGAGTTGTTCGTATTATTAGTTGATGTATAAACACTAAAATATAATTAAAATAAAAGAAATTGAAACAGTGGCGAGACTTTTTCAAAAAAATCGTGTTAATTTTCATTTGCCATGCCTATTTACATTATACATACATATTGTTCATACATAACTTCGTCTCAGTGTGTAAAACTTTCGCTTTGGTAAGTTCAAGTGCAAGATCGAGACACTTTAAATTAGTGTAACCTCTTATTCTTCGTCTTCATCAGCAGAAAATCTTGTTAAAGTAGGCAAATATAATAATACAAAAGTATATTTATTAGTATTATTATGGTTTCATAGTTCAAAATCCTAAAAGAATTTAAAAAAAAAACATAGAACAATTTTTGCAACTGTATTATGATGCTGCAAATGTATAAGCTTAAACTGGTGTACACCCACCAATCGAACAAAGAGTATATAAGCACTACGATTTACAGTTAAGAATTTTCCAAATAAGTTTCCTAGTGTAGGTAATTGGCGAATCGTTTCATCTAATGAGGTTTAATCACTAGACGTCGCTTGTTTAAAAAAGTTAAAGTTACAGTCTATATACATCCCACTGCTGCGCACAGGCCTCCCCTCATTTCTGAGAGGGTTTTAGGGCAAGGAAGTGTCCGCCGCGCTGCCCTAATGCGTGTTGGCGGAACTTCACATGTTTTCGAAATATTTTTTGCCTTATTCCTCAGACTTGCAGGTTTCCTTCACCGCCGAGCACGTGGTAAATCGGCACTTA